TTTGTGAAAAGTGGCACATGAGTCTAGTCCAATCCTATCCTTTTAAAAGGGGAAAAGAGGGAGAATGTTGACTGAACTGGAAATTACCAGCCACATCTCAACAAACCCAATCGCTTTTTTATTTAACCCCACAAGGCAATCTTATTTAAAATCAGGACTGCCGAACGAAACTATTCTGTCGCCCATTCACGATCTGAATTCTGCTATAGGAGAATTAAATGATGGTGGATATTAAAAAAAAGTCATGAGAGGTTTCTGGTTTGTAATAAATAAGGCAGTGGCCAAGCATCACTCAATAGTGGCTCTTTTGAGATAAGCTATCAAGTCTGCCCTCTCATTCTTCTTCTTAACGCTGGCGGAGATCATCTTGGTGCCTGGACGTACTTCTTGGGATTCTCCAGGTACTCCAGGTACTCCATCACAGTGTCCTCTGCTCAGGTACTCCATCAGAGTATCCTCTGCTCAGGTGATGTCTTTGTTCTTGTTGGCCATCTGTGTAAAAGAAGCTGGTGGCATGCCCGGTTTTCCACCCAAACAGACCATGGAGATTGGGTCCAGTCTTGTGCTTGCCTCCTTTTGCCACGGTGTGACACTTCTAAACAAACATCTTCTTGCCTTTCTCAGCATCACTCATTTTTTGAGTTCGTGCTGGTCGTTCTCCGCGCCAGAAAGGTTGACACTGGGAAGCTGGACGTTCCACTCTCCCAACATTTAAAAAAATTTTAAGCAATTCCTTTTTGGGTACTGACACAGCAAAAGAGTAACAGTTATTTAAAATTTTATATTTATGCACAGATATGTTAGGACAAATCGAACATATTTGGTCATTAAGTCTCAGTGCCAAATATTAGAAGCGTATGATCCTGTATTGGGAGTAGCAAACCCCAGATTCCTTTAAAAAACCAAAGCTCAGGGTGAGCCAATGGCTTAGTTGATAAATTGTCACTTTGCAAGCTGGGATCCCATATGCTGCCAGTTCATGTCCTGGCTGCTCCATTTCCCATCCAACTCCCGTCTTGTGACCAGGAAAGCAGTAGAGGATGGCCCAGTGTCTTGGGACCCTGCACCTACGTGGAAGACCCAGAAGAAGCTCCTGTCTCCTGGCCTTGGATTGGCTCATCCCTGGCGGTTGTGGTCACTTGGGGAATGAACTAGCAGACAGAAAGTCTTTCTTTGTCTCTCCTCTCTGTAAATTTGCCTTTCCAATAAAAAATTTAAAGTATATAAATCTTTTTAAAAAGCCAAAGCTCATTGACAATGTTTGGTTGCACTGTGAGTCCTGTGAAAAACTGGAAAGCATGCTAACTCACTGACATTCAGAACTCGGTCTCACAACTTACCTGGGTGCGACAACTTATCTTTTTCTCAATGATTAAATTCTAAAAATAGCGATGTGATTGGGACAAGGAATTTGTGCACCTTAATCTGTTATTCCCACTTTTGATGAAGCATATATTCATCTTAAAAAAAAAGAAAAGATTTTGGGGGGCTGACACAGTATCCTAGTAGCTAAATCTTTACCTTGCATGCTCCAGGATCCCATATGGGTGCTAGTTCGTGTGCCGGCAGCTCCACTTCCCATCCAGCTCCCTGCTGTGGCCTGGGAAAGCACTAGAGGATGACCCAAAGCCTTGGGACCCTGCACTCAAGTGGGAGACCCAAAAGAAGCTCCTGGCTTCAGATTGGCTCAACTCCGGCCACTGTGGCCACTTGGGGAGCAAATCAATGGATGAAAGATCTTCCTTTCTGTCTCTTCTTCTCTCTATATATCTGACTTTCCAGTACAATAAATCTAAAAAGAAGATTATTTGGGGGCTCAGCACAATGGCTCAATTGGTTAATCCTCCCTTTCAAGTGCTGGAATCCAAATGGGTGCCTGGTTGTGTTCTGGCTGCTCCACTTTTATCCAGCTCCCGGCTTATGGCATGGGAAACAGAGGAAGATGGTCTAAAACCTTGTGGGAGATTCAAAAGAAGCTCCTGGCTCCTGGCTTCAGATAGGCTTGGGACCCTGCACCCAAGTGGAAGATCTGAAAGAAACTCCCATTACCCAAATGGCCGCGATGGCCGGAACTGAGCTGATCCGAAGCCAGGAGCCTCTTGCAGGTCTCCCACGTGGGTGCAGGGTCCTAACGCTTTGGGCCGTCCTCGACTGCTTTCCTGGGCCACAGGCAGGGAGCTGGATGGGAAGTGAAGCAGCCAGGATACAAACTGGCGCCCACATGGGATCCCGGTGTGTGAGAAGTGAAGACTTTAGCCACTAGGCTACCACGCTGGGCCCTCAAACAATTTATTTATAAGTTCATGGGAAAGTTTATGCGACTATACAATTAATTAAAATGAAATTTCTTCCCCATAGTGGTGGAGCTAAACTAGCCCCAGGACAAACGATATTGTAAATCACAATGCCTAGCTTAAAAAATTGATTATGAGTCCTGGTGCTACAAGGTGGAAGATTAGCCTGCTAAGCCACCAGGCTGGTCCTGAGCTGCTTCCTTGGGTGTAGGCGCAGACCTGGCTGCTCATGATGCTGCTAGACGCTGGCTGCTTGGACACCATGGGAGCCTAGGATGTCCACCAGGTGGCCACAGAAATGTCACATGCCTCCTTGGAGTTCAGGCACATTGTGTCAGCTTCCCCTCCATGCTGGTGTGGTGGGCACAAGGGCATTCAGGGGCAAGAACTCCCAGCACTGCGGTTTGTGAAGTGAGCATGGGTCAGTACAAGCAGGACATGTGGGTGTGCAGTGAGGGCCACCTAAGGGCTCCTCCAGGCCCTGTAGGCAGGTGGCAGCCTTGAGGTAGGGAGATACTAGCTGGGGGAGATGGCATTGGAGATGGTGGCCCAGAGTCAGTGACGGTGGCCTGTGTGCCACATCATACCAGCCACTGTAGGGATGACACTGCCGAGCCCATGGAGCCACAGGGCCTGGCATATCCTCCCTCAGTGCCCCAGGTTCAGGCTGGTACCAGGCTCCAGGACAAACACAGCCTTGTTCCACACGGCTTGGGATCCTGCTCTGTCTCTGGCCGGAACTTAGGTCCAAGCAGCATTTCTTGCTGAGTGCAAGGGGAATGACAGAATGCCGTGGTTCCCGGTGACTTCCCCCACAAAGGTTGATGGGGATAAGCTCAGCTTGGTCCTCAGAATGAAGAATAATACTTGCAATCTAAGAAAACACGTGTTCTAGCACAAAGCCACTCAGTCCCATCTGGATGCCTCATCCAGCACTTCCTCCTCGATACAGGATTCTGACCTGACGGGGATGCTCCTGGCGGGTCACTTCCCAGGACACTGGACAACCTGCTGCAGCCCTTTGCAGCCACTGCCGTCGGTCAGGGTCAGGGCCATCCAGCTCCACCTGCTGTTCTGGCTATCAAGCCAGCTGTGCTCTCCAGTGAGGCCTCTGTGCTCCCTGGGGCTTCTGTTGTCTTGACACCTGATACCCACGTTTGTGACACATTGCTCTCTCTTAACGTGCACCTGACCTGGAGTGGAACAGAAGAGCGGAACCAGCCAATTGAGTTTTTGCATGTGGATTAGCTGCTACCTTCCAGAATGAAGAAGCCAATGGCTTCTCCCTTCTAGAAAGACAGGTGGGATGTGGCTCTCTCTGTGGCCCCCTGGGGGAGGGGGTCATACCGCCAGGGCACACAGTGGCAGTAAATCCTTGGACAGCCTAGATAATGTGTCCTTTGTAGGGATTGTGGCAAGAAGGGGAACCAAGAGGAATTTAGGGGGGGGTTCAGAAATCTTTGGGCAGTGATTCTCAGGTGTGGTCTCCAAGGTGTTCCTTCTGTGTTCAGACAGGTGTCCACAGCACCAGACTTCCCTAGTCCCTGAGCTCAGCCAGGTGGACTCAGGCTGCTCCTGGCAAAGTCGCGACAAGCAGAGAGTAACCTGAGGACAGCGACAGAATCCCAGGACCCCGTCGCCATCCTCCCAAATGCTAATGCTCCCATAAGGAGCATGGAGTCTGAGAGTATCAGCAGGAATCTAGGCGAGAGGAGAGCTGCTGGCCGGACAAGAACTACAACCTGATGGCCCTTGGGAACAGCTCCCTAAGGCGTGCCTCAAGGGGCGGGGCCGTGCTGAAGGCCGCTGGGGAAGGCTCTGCCCCCGCATCCTTGGATGGGTCCTCAGGATCCCCAGCTGCGAGTGGGGTGCGCGTGGATTAAGGGGGGAGAGGAGTGGCGCAGCCCCTGGGGCCTTACCAGTTCATTTGTCCCATAGCTATGACTGCCCTGTGTGTACTGTTCTGAGTGACCCTTCATCACGCAGGTGAACAAGATAGGTGTCCAGCCCAGAGTCCAGCCACTGGCGGGGGGCGGGGTGGAGTCACCCTCCACCAGTGTCTCACGATTGGCGTGCGTTCGGGAATCCCAGGTGCAGTGGCCACGGGGGTCCAGGGTCCCCGAACCATCCCGTCCACACATACACGCACATGCGTGCACGCACACACCTCGGCCACCTCCCCTCCAGTGGGTCCCGGCCAGCGTGTCCTCCCAGAGGGCGCGGGCCGGAGGCGTGGCCTCCGTGTTGTTGCCGCTGCGCGTCCCGCCCCCGAGGGGGGCGCGGACCACGCGGCCCCAAGGCCCGCCTCCCCTCCCCCTGCCCGCCCGCCTCTTTGTATCCAACATCCGGGTTTCCCCGCTGGCTCGGCTCCGTGGCCGCAGCTCAGGAGCCATTTTGGACTCGGTTCAGCTCCCCTCCCCCAGCCCCTCCCCCACCCCACCCCCCTTGTTCATGGCCCCTCCGGACTCGGCCCCTGCGCCCCGGGCCCGGGCCCAGCCCCGATGCGCTATGCCTGAGTCGGGCGCGCCCCGGCCCGTGGCCCACCACCGCCGCCGCCGCCCCCCGGTCCTCGCGTCGTCCCGGAGCCCGGACCGCAGCCTACGCCGCCCGCAGCGGCCCTGAGCCCGGCCCTTGGAACCCAGCACGCTGCCCGGGGACGAAGGCGCTGGAAGCGCGCGGGGGAACGAGCCGCAGGCAGGAGCGGGAAGGCTATCGCGGCTGTCGCCCGGCCGGCCCTGCGCGCCCCGGGAGCGCCGCGCGGCCCTACCCGTGGGCTCGGGGTGTCCGCGGGGCGGCGCCGGAACATGACGGCGCCCTGGGCGGCCCTCGCCCTCCTCTGGGGATCGCTGTGCGCCGGTAAGCACGGGGCGCGGCGTGCGGGTCGCGCCGAGCCGGCCCCTGCTCGGCGCGCTATTTACCAACAAAGGGCGGGCCTGCGGCCTCGTCCCGCGCCACCTGTACGCAGTCCGCACCTCCCGGGGCGGGCGAGGACCGGGACGGGTGGGCGTGCTGGGAGCCCCGTGCGCTCTGCTTGTGCGTGCGCTCCGGGTTCGCAGGAGGCGCCTCCGCCATGGTTGCCGGGACCCGGAGCCTCAGGGTAGGGGTGCGCGCGCCATGGGCGCGTGGAACCCAGGGCGAGTGAGGAAAAACTGGGCTCAGCAGCCGAGCGGGGCGGGCAGGTGTGTGCATTGCGGGAGGGGGACGGTGGGACTGTAGGTGCAGCCGTCACCGTGGGAGTAAGGCTGTGCCTTCCTTTGCACCGCCAGTTGTAGTAGAGGTGGCTGACTTTACTGCCCTTCGCATCCCTGCCACCAGCCCACTTCGCCTTCCCTGTGCGGTGGCTCTTACCTACACCCGCCTTGCCTGCGTTGGGCCCCTGTGTTTCGGGCCGCTTTGTTCTGGGCACTTGGTACGGGAGGAGGGATGAACAACACTTTAACAGGTCCCTGTCGCCCGAGCTTCCAGGAGGCACGTGGCGGGGGCGGGTGGCAGACTCTGAGTCCGCCAGAGGCTGCGGGCGCGAGAGGTCGGGGAGTGTGTGTGTGTATGCAGGTGTAGCACGCGGAGTGTTACCAGAAAGCGCCTTTTTCCTTCCCCAAGACCAAAACACTGGTTTCCCGCTCCCGGTGGTGCCGGGCGCGCTGAGCCTGGGGTGGGCGTTCCGGGATGCGTTTCTGGGCGGGCAGCTCTAGGGAAACTTGGGGAGTCGGAGCCTTGACGCTCCAGCAGAAAGCTCAGCCTGGCAGCTGAGTCCTGCGCGTCTTTGTTCCCCTGCCCCCATTACACATGCAGCTCGGGTCCCCTGCCGCCCGCGGTGGCAGCAGTGCGGAGTCTGGGAAACCCGCGAGGGGCGGTGCCCAACGTGCAGGGGCGGGACTGGGATCCCCGCGCCACTGCTGCGGGGGTGGGGAGATGGGGATCCCAGCCCTACCCCAACTCCGGCATAGGAGTTTAAGTCAGGGGCGGAGTTGTTGTGCAGCCGGGGGCTGCGTGCCCGGCGAGCAGGGCCTACCGGGCGGAGGAGACCAGCATCTCCCACTCGGTGCCTGGGTCCCTGGCGGTAAGGGGCGTCACGACTCTGCCGGGTGTTGCAAGGACGGTGTGTGTGCTGCCCTTGGCAGTGCTGTGGCTGAGATGTCTTTTCTTAAGAAGAGGGGCTTTGCATTGAGAGGGCCGGCGTCGCCTGCCTCCCCGGACACGGATTAACGTCCTCAGGTGCTCTCCGTCTTGAGGGCAGGACTGGGTACCTGGCGAACCGTGTGCTGCTTTCCTGCACCGCTGCGCTTTGCTTGGGTGATGCTGACCGGTGCACCTGCCTGGGAGGAGCTCGAGCACCCGTGCTCCTGTCCTGTGAGGGTCCTGGGGGGGGAGTTGCTCTGGGTCCAGTAGGATAACGCTGATCCTTTTCCTCAGCCCCTGGCTGCCCCCTCCCCATAAGGCCCTTGTAGGAGAAAGTCTGGAACTACACCACCCGCCCGGAGGAAATAAGCGTGAACTACTCTACCATGGACCTCACAGAGCTCCTGGAGAAAAGAATTAAAGATTTATTTATTTATTGCAAAATCAGATATACAGAGAGGAGGAGAGACAGGAAGATCTTCCCTCCGATGCCTCACTCCCCAAGTGACCACTGCAACGGCTGGTACTGAGACAATCTGAAGCCGGGAGCCAGGAGCTCTTCCAGGTCTCCCACACGGGTTGCAGGGTCCCAAAGCCTTGGGCCATCCTCGAGTGCTTTCCCAGGCCACAAGCAGGGAGCTGGATGGGAAGTGGAGCTGCTGGGATTAGAACCGGCGCCCATATGGGATTGCAGCACGTTCAAGGCAAGAACTTTAGCTGCTAGGCCACTGTGCCAGGCCCTGGAGAGTGGAATTAAAAGGTTAGTTAATTTTGGTGCAAAAAAACAAAAAAGATTGTATCAGCTGTGCTTAAAACATTTTGTGCAAATGCCTTTTGTGGAGAAGATGCTTCAATTGCACTTGTAGCTTTTTTGCACTAAAATTTTTTATTCTGTATTTCCACAAATGTTCTTAAGTATGTGTTTGTGTGTGTGTGTAACTTGTACTTTTGCAGCAGCCGTGGTGGTGTCTCGGCGTGCTGCGGAAGTGGGACCCAGCCTGGCTGTGGGGGTGTGTCCTGGTGTGGGCTGGACGCTCTGAGCCATATGCTGGCTGACCACTGTCTTGGCTTACTGCCTGCCCTCAATGTCCCCCGTGACAGAGAGAGCACATGGAAGGATTTTTTTTTTCCTGTGTTCCTTTAGTGGGGTTCATTTTGCCATAAAGGTCATAGCTCCGAAAACCATCGTATTACAAGTTAGGGCTGCAGCGATAAATCTTGAGTAGGTGGGGGAAGGGAGGACATTCCATAGTGAGGTGAAAATTAACTTTATTTCCGCTAACACATACGAAGTACTCGTTCTAGCAATCAGTGTTAACACAGGTGTCCGGCCTCCAGGTTTGTGCGGCTCCTCGTGTCCCGTGTGCGCCCTGCACAAACCGAGCAGCTCAATTCTGGTAGCACTTCCAGTTCTCTGTCACCTGGTGGGCTGGTGATGACCGAGTTGGCCAGAAAAGGCAGAACCGTGGCTGTGGTGACGATGCATGGCACCTGTCAGAGGGTCAGCGATCAGTTCTCCCTGACCCAGAGTCCTCAGGCCACAGGCATGGCACTGGACACTCCGGATACTCCATGTGTTGTGGGAGTTCCTGGCTGTGTGCATGTGTGTGGTCCCCATCAGCAGGCCTGTGGATGGACTGGACCGGGGCGGGCTGTGTCTCCTGTCTCAGGTCGCTCAGGTAGGCTGGCTGCTCTCAGATCCAAAGATACTTTGTGTCCCTTTGTTGAAGGCAAGTGTGGAGGAGTGAGTGAGTGAACTTCGGGCCTGGGATGGTGGCTTTGACCAAGGATGTGGCTGCAAGGATCTTGGCTTTGAGCCCTGGCTGGGTGTCTTCGGTACCCGTCCTGACAACATGCTGGACACCGCAGTCCCTGGTTTGGCTTGCAGGCTGGCAGAGTTGCCCTTTGACGGGAGTGGGAACCCTGAACACAGCTGAAACCAAGAAAACTTGCCCATTCTTTCTGGCTCTAGACCTGGGGAACACTTAACCTGCTTGTACTTCTATGTTTTTAAATTGATTATTATTATTTTTTAAATATTGTTTGCATAGTTGAGAGAGATGCATACCCACGTGGGTCTCTGGTTAGAGCGGGGAGGTTCAGGTACTGAGAAGGGTGGGTGGATATATGTATGTTTATCTATCTACTTATTTATTTTTCTCCTGTGTCCACAGGGGAGGAGGGAGAGGGGTTGCTCCTTGTTGACAAATTACATCAGCACCTGGGACGGGGGACAGTCATTGGGTGACGCCTTGGAGAGCCGGTGTTGGGGAGAGTGTTCCAAGGTTGTGACTTGAGTGGTTTTGATCCTTCTGAGACCTTGTTGATTTTGTTGCTCCAGGTTTGAGAAAATCATTCTAGTCTGACTAGGTCTACCTTAGTGCATCCACAGACCCAGGAACAGGCTACAAAGCCTGGCCAGGAGAGTTGTCCAACCTGTTCTCTTGCCCATCCTCTGACGTAGTTGATGTCTTCTGCTGGGCTAGATGAGCTGGCTGTCTTGTTCCTTGTATGCATCTGTACATCCTGTCCGCTGCACAGGCACTGGCAACTGAAAAGGCCTAGTCCTGACACGTGCATTTTCCAGGGTGGCCAGGGTCTGAATCCAAGAGTTCAGCTGGGAAATTCCCCAAGAACCCTTGCCTGGGGTGTCCTCAGATTTGACTCTTGTCTTCACTAGCTAGTGCAAGCCAGGTGCGGTGTGTCAGCTGCACCAGCTACACGTACTGCAGCTGCCTGGTCAGTTTCATCTCAGCACCATACCTCAGTGAACCAACAGGTGCTGTGGCCCATCCCAGCCGGCCCTCTACATGCCTCGTCCTCAAGCAAGTGCCGTGGCTTAGTCGGGGTGACCCCCCCCAAAACCTCTTCCAGCTCCATCCCCAGCCTCTGCTGTTGTCTAGCCCAGCCTAACCTGTAACCCGTCGGCTCTTTTGCACACCCATGGGTGCTGCAGCTTAGCTCAGCTCCCTCCTTCTCAGACCTGACCCTCAGGTACCCTTGGGTGCCACCACCTTATCCAGTCTGTCTTGCCCCCAGGTCTGGTTCTTATACTCACCAGTGATAGGTACAGCCCAGCAGAGGGATGCCTACAGTTCCCCTGCCAGTCATGTTCCCAGCCCTGGATCTTGTACTTGCTGGGGGGTCCTGTGGTATAGCCTGATGTGACTTACAGCCAATCCCAACACTTGCCAGCCAGTACTGTGGCCCAACTGAACTGGTCCATACCTATCTGGTTCTCGTTTATGCCAGCGGGAGAAGCAGCCTTGCCCAACGTGGCTTGCCCCAATCCCAACTGTCACTCTCACCAGTGGGGGTCCTTCTAAGTTCCCTACCAGGCCCACTCCCAGCCCTAGGTCTTGTGTGTACCAGCAGGTGCTGCAATCCAGGCTGAGATGGCCAAGCCCCAGTCTTGACATTTGCCACCAGGTGCTGCAACCTGGCTCAACCCGTCCTGCTCCCCAGTTCCAAGCTCTCGCTGGCTGGTGCAGCATCTTAACCCAGCTTAGTCCATCCCTAGCCGTCATGTGAACTGGCAGGTGTGGCGGTGCAACCCAGCCTGGCCTGTACCCTGTCCTGGCTCTCAGTGTGTGCTGCGGACTAACCTAATCTTGTCTAGCTGCTTCCAGCCCTGGCTCTTGGCACTCACCAGCAGGAGCTATGCCTAGTAGAGAGTTCCCTAAGTTCCCTTATCAGGCCCTAGCAGGTGCTGGAGCCTAGCCCACATGCATGTTGAT